GGAAGACAATTTGGAATCTTCCCGCTTAAATTGTTATGAGAAAGGTCAAGAATTTCGAGATCATCCTTTTCACATATCCATTCAGGAATATTTCCAGGAATGCTACTTTTGGATAGCACTAGGCTTCGCAGACCATCTGCATGTCTTAAGAAATTGGGGAATTCACTCAAGTTACAAGAAGACAAGAAAACATCAATTAGTTTGGGTAATGTGAAGTTGGCATGGACATTCATTCTCAAGGACAGATTATTGTTTGAAAGAGTGATGAAATGATTTGATGATAAATCGAGAGAATAAAGATTTACTAAATTAGCGATTGAGTTAGGAATTGAGCCCTGGAGTTTATTGTTTGACAAATCTAGCCATATGAGTGATTTTTGCTGGAATTGATTTATTTGACCTTGAAATTGGTTATGACCGAGATTCAAGTCCTCTAACAAAGGTAGGGTGAAAATCCAAGGTGGCAACGTGCCATTAAGTAAGTTATAAGATAAGTCTAGAGTGCTTAGTGTGGAAAACCTAGTTGCATGAAAAGGAATGGGACCAGAAAACTGATTATTTGAAAGGCGAAGCACCACAAGTTGTGTGAGGTTTGCAAGTGATGATAAGATTTGTCCACTAAGATTGTTAGAAGAGAGCAATAGAGAAACAAGTTGGTATAAGTTCCCTATGAAAGCTGGAATGGGACCAGAAAAGTGATTCTCTGAAAGGTCAAGTACGCTAAGTTGTGTGAGGTTTGCAAGTGATGATGGGATTTGTCCGCGAAGAATGTTATATCCGAGGCCTAGAGAAGTAAGTTTGTATAAGTTCCCTATGAAAGCTGGAATGGGACCAGAAAAGTGATTCAATGAAAGTTGGAGTGAGCGAAGTTGTGTGAGGTTTGCAACTGATGATGGGATTTGTCCGCTAAGATTGTTAAAAAAGAGGCCTAGAGAAGTAAGTTGGGATAAGTTCCCTATGAAAGCTGGAATGGGACCAGAAAAGTGATTCCATGAAAGGTCAAGTACGCTAAGTTGTGTGAGCTTTGTAAGTGATGTTGAAATGGAACCTTCCAAGTTGCAGCTAAGACTTAGATACTGTAATGACTTTAGATCTCCTATAGACTCTGGCAATCCCCTTCCGCAATCCATACCACCTAAATACAACTGTTGGAGAGGACTGCTCCAATTGAAACTTGGAAGATCAATAGTGAGGTTTCGCTCTCTAAAAGATCCACTTAAATAAAAATTCTTGAGATTTGGAAAGCGGAAAATACTGTTTGGAAAGTTTCCTCTTAATGCACTCTCCGCAAGACCAAGAGTAGTCAATGAAGAAGAGAGATTCATGAAGAAACGAGGATTAACAGATGTCATGTTCACTCCATAAAGAACAAGTTCTCTCACCTCACTTAAGTTCTGAACAAGATTTCTCAAGGTAGTTGTTTCAAGGATCAATTCAGCAGAATCAGAATAGAGGTAATTAGAGAGATTGAGAGAAACTAACTTGGGTAGGTGAGCAATTTCTGCTGGAACTTGGCCCGAAAACTGAGAACAAGAGATATCAAGATGCTTTAGTTTGGTAAACTGACTGATTTCTGTTGGAATCTTGGAAAGCCTAAAATCATTGAAGGAAAGATTGAGGCTCTGCAGGTTTTTGAGGAGAAAAAGAGTGCTGTTGGAAGGAAAGGTGCCAGAAAGGAGACTGCAGCTGAGATCAAGAGCGATTACATGACCTGTGACATTATCACAGCTAACCCCATCCCAGGAACAGCAGCCTACACCTTCCTTCCAAGACTCAGTCTTAGAATAAGGTTTGGTATGGTAAGTATTACATCTTTCAGGATCAGAAGCAGTGTTATTGGTGGAAAAGGAAGTCTTGAATTGCAGCAAAGCAAAAGCCTCCTCATGAGAGCAGAGCTGTGTTGTTGAAAAGGAAGAAGCATGTAAAGAGGATGAGAAGGCAATTTTAAGACAGAGGAAGCAGAAAAGAAGGCAGAGTGGCGTAGAGAGCATTGTGAAGAACCCCATATATCTTTGTTCGGTGGAATGGAGTAGTGTAGAAGAGTATATATAGAGTGTTCCAAATCAAGATACACTAATAATTAAATATATTCTATCAAAATAAAAATAAATGAATATAGAATGTAATATTGATCCATGGTGGATATTATTTTCAAATCTACTTTTTGACGTCTCTTTTATTTACTAGTTTGAGATTAGATGGAGAAATTACAATTACGTTATTAACATGATTTCAGCTAATAATTTGAATCACAATAATAGATTTTTACCGTTATCACAACATAATGTAAAAAAGATATTTTTTTACTTAAAAATTAGAATTAATAATTTAAAGTGATTATTTTTTTTGACTAATTTGTAATTATTTACAGAGGTAATTGGGGGAGGGGGGAAAGGGTTTCCGTGGAGTTTGAACGTGCAACACACGGAGGTGAACAGCCCTAACTCAGGGCCTGAAGCCACTGGGTCGGAGCGGGTCGTTCATTTAAAGTGATTATTTATTTACATTTCTTAATATATATACATATACATAACAAATATTAGTAGATAAATATTAATATTAAAAGATTATTTAATATAATTTACAATCACTTGCTCTAAATGGGGTGATCAAAGCATGTACCGTAGTCATTTTCTATTATTCTCATTCTAGACTTCATGTACTTGTTATTTTTTTTACATTTTTGTCTCTTAGAATGAATTTGAATAATTAGTAAAAAAGGACAAAGATGTATCTTATGTATCAAAGAGAGAGAAGGTTATAAACAACGTTTTTGATAAATTAGATTTAGATTTATGTTATCATTATTGTTTTAATTTGAGCCTAATTATGAATCATGAATAGAAAACTAACTAGTTTTCTACCAAATTTATAATCAATTAAGTGAAAACATATCGTTTGAAAGTTGAGGGACTGAATTGCAAAGAGAAAGGCTCCCTTTTGGGACCTAAATGAATGAATCTTAAGTTACAGGAGCAAAGTGCATTGTATAAAATTTGCAGGACCAGATCGGGTGTAGTGTCGACACATAATTCGTGGAGTTAGCACCATGCATTACTCGCCCACCATTGAAGTTTTTTATTTTGTCTCAAGTACTACTTCTTTTCTAATAGGTTTGTTAAACTCTATAAATACCCACTCAAAAATTAGATTTGGGGCTTTGGTTGTAGGCCAAGAGAGATAGCTAAGAAGAATTCAACAAAAAAAGAAAATTAAGACTTGAAATCTTATATTATTAAATTGGTTTTACTTATTTTTTATTTTATTTTATAATGTTGGATACTTTTATATTCATTATGAGATATTTGACTTTCTTTACGTTCATTATGAACTAATTTAACTATCTAAAATTATGATGTAGTCTGATCAATTTGGTATAAAATTTTATGACTTATGCTTTCAAAGTTTATTATTTTATGTAAAATATATATTATTATTCTTAATACTTTTTAATGATTGATCACCATTATAATTGATTTAGAGAGTATAATTGAGATTGAGAGAAGATTTTATACAATAGTTTCTAATAATGTATATCATGAACTGAATGAAAACTAGAGATGGATTAACATGATTTGTGTAGTATTAGTGATAAATGGACTTAATTTTCTATGTAAACTAGATTTTCATAAACATAATATATCTTTATTTATTTAAATTCATTAGAGATATAGTAAGTTAACAGGTGAAAATAAGTTTAATATAACTTGAGAAAGTATATTAAATAAAATAAAAAATTTTGTTGTCATATGAATAATAAATACCTTGAACATATATTAATTTAAATTTATATTGATTGATTATAGTGAAATCGAATGCGTCAGAATTTTAATTCTTGATTTTACTTAAAGTAATTTAGTTTTTTTCTTTAATTAGTTTAGTTAATTAATTTATTTAAATCATTTAATTACAATTATTCAAATAAAATTAGAATTAATTAATTTTGGTACTTAATTAGTGTTGAGACGATATTCTATTTTTATTATTATATTACTTGAAGTGACTAGTACTCTTGTTAGAGTGAAATTAAAGCATCAATGATATGCTATTTTGTGCAAAAATTGACTCCTATTTTAAAATTTCTTCGACTCATATTAAAGATTAGCACACATATGCACCATATTTATCGTAGGTCAATTTTCATATATATTGCTATGAAAATTAAAATAGTGATGGTAAAGAGAATAGATTAATAAAAAGTTTAAGATCTATTCATTTATATTTCTTAATATAAATACATATATATATAACAAATATTAGTACATAAATGTTAATATTAAAAAATTATTTAATATAATTTACAATCACTTGCTCTAAATGGGGTGGGCAAACCACGTACCATAGTCATTTTTTGTTATTTTTATTCTAGACTTCATGTACTTGTTATTTTTTACATTTTTATCTCTTAGAATGAATTTGAATAATTAGTAAAAAAGGAGAAAGATGTATTCTATGTATGAAAGAAAGAGAATGTTATAAATAAAGTTTTTGATAAATTAGATTTAGATCTATGTTATCATTATTATTTTAATTTGAGCTTAATTATGAATAATGAATAGAAAACTAACCACTTTTCTACCAAATTTATAATCAATTAAGTGATAACATATGTTCATCATTGTTAAAATCCGTAGTTTTACTTAGAGAAGAAGGTTTATGACCGCAAAAAAAAAAAAAAAAAAAAAAAGGTTAAATCTCCATTTTGGTCCCTCCAGTTTAGAAAAAAAATCCTTTTTAATCTTTTTACTTAAAAAAACTCTTTTTTGATCCCTAAAATTTGAAATTTAGCCTCTTTTTAGTCCCTTCATTAGGTTTTACTTATTTGGCACGTTAGATGGCGAAATTTTCAAAATAGAGTGACAAAAAAGAAGAAGCTAAAAACAGCTCTAATTTTGTCTCTCTATTTAAAAAAAAAAAACCCTTTTTAGTTTCTTTTTTTTGAAAATTTTGTCATCTAATATCAAAACTTAATGAATAGACTAAAAAGGGGCCAAATTTCAAATTTTAAGGATTAAAAGGAGTTTTTTTCAATAGAGAGATTAAAAAAAGATTTTTTTTATCAAAGTAGAGGACCAAATTGGCGTTTTAACACCCAAGTTTTTTGCTCTTTGCAAATGTAACTCATGAGAAAATAATCTCCTTTATTTTTTCTATATTTATTGTTTTGATTTGATCTATCTGACAAGACAAGTTTTCACATTAACGAAAGACTTGATTGAGTCTTGGTCATGGCATTATAATTCAAGTCTTCATCAATGCCTTGGTGTTCAAGTTGTAAAACGGCCCTTTTTTTTCCTTTTGAGGTTTTAATTGATATTAATTACATCACACTTTTGATAGATGATGTTTGCATATGAACTACTATTGTGATTAGAAAGTGATGTATGTATCATTGCTTTATATTAATTTTCAATTTCACTAGAACTTTGTAAGAAACGAATAGATGGGATTCATGGTACATTATCCTAAGAAAAATTGATGTGCTGAAATTTATTAACAAGTGTATTAGTTACTTAAGTAATAAAGTAATAAACTAATTAGAAGAGTGTCGAATTTACAAAAATTATAATTAATTAAGTACAAAAAATAATTAATTCTAAAATTATTTAAACAAAAAGAAGAGAGGAAATTTTAATTAAAACTAATTTAAAAAATAACAATTTAAAATAAAATTTATCAAGATATAATATATTAAAGCATTTGACTTTACCATAAACAATCAATATAAATCTTAAATTATTATACTTTTAATACATTTTTAATTTATGTAACAGTAGAATTTAGTATCATTTTTAATATATTTTCTCTAATGAAGGTTCATCAAAGATATATTAATAATATAAATATTACAATTTATCAATAATTTGCTATATAGGCATTATATAAAATCAAATTCTTACTACTATCTCATTCGTGGTTGATGAGAAGCATTTTATATGCTTAAATTTATTATATTAGCTTTGATTTTATTACTATTTGCAAGGACTATGTGATTTTTAATAGATATTACATAGTTTTTATTCTTTATGCAGAAAAAGACTTAAATGCATAATTATAGAAGTTTTTGTGATTAATTAAATGTCTTTTGAAAGTTGAGGGACTGAATTGCAAGGAGAAAGGTGACCTTTGGGACCTAAATGAATGAATCTTAAGTTACAGGAGCAAAGTGCATTGTATAAAATCTGGAGGACCAAATCTGTCATTTTACCATTAAAGAAATTGCAAAAAGGAGGCCCAAAACCCAACACGGGTGTGATGTCAACACGTAATTCGTGGTGTCAGCACCATGCATTAAGCGCCTGGCATTGAAGTTTTCTATGTTGTCTGTCTCAAGTCCTACTTCTTTTCAAAAATCAGACTTGGGGCTTTTGGTGGGAGACCAAGAGAGAGATGGCTAAGAGGAATTGAACAGCAAAAGAAAAGCGAAAGAAAATCAAGTTGAAGATCTTATATTATTAAATTTGTTTTACTTGTTTTTTAATTTTATTTTATGATATTGGATATTTTTATATTCATTATGAAATATTTGATTTTTTTTCTTTAATTATGAACTAATTTAACCTTCTAAGGCTACAATGTAACTTGATCAATTTAGTATAGAATTTCATGACTTTTATGCTTTCAAAGTTTATTATTTTATGTAAAATATATATTATTATTCTTAATACTTTTTAATGATTTATCACCACTAAAACTGATTTGGAGAGTATGATTGAGACTGAGAGGAGATTTTATACAATAGTTTCTAGTAATGTATATCATGAATTAAATGAAAGTTAGATATGGATTAACATAATTCGTGTAGTATTAATGATAAGTGAACTTAATTTTCTACGTAAACTAGAGAATTTCATAGAATATAATGTATTTTTATTTATTTAAATTCATATAAAAATATAGTGACTTAACAGTCGAAAATAATTTAATATAACTTGAGAAATTATATTGAATAGAATAAAAAATCTTGTTGTCATATGAATAATAAATACCTTAAAAGTATATTAATTTAAATTTTGT